GAGAGGGAGGGGAAGGGGCTGCTGCGGGTGGGGAGGGCGGCAGAGGGGGCGGAGGGGGGGTTGGGTTCCTCTGTCACGGCCCCTTCGCTCGGAGAGGCCGAGTCGGCGCCTAGAGAGGGGGTAGGAAGGGCCCCCCTGCCCTCCTGCCGGGGCACTCGAGCCTTAGGAATAGCCCCAGCCGGCCTGGGAGTCACGGCAGGGCTTAAATATCTGCAGCAAAAGTGCCTTTGCTTCATAGGGAGCGGTTTGAGCCGCCGCGTTGGGAGCCCCCTGGGCCTGCTGTTACAGTGAGCCGTGGGCGTTTGCTGCTTGTGCTCTTAAAGGCTCCGTTTTGCTGTACTTGCTGAGGATTGAGGGACGTTCAGGCTGTTTGTAGCCCTGACAAAACTTGTGGCAGTGCAATGAGTGTAAAGTCGGAGTTGTTGGGGCTGGAAGGGAGCTGAGGAGCTCTGCAGTCTAACCCCCTGCTCACGGTGTGGTCAGATCTGAGGTCAGACCAGGCTGCTCAGAGCCTTGTTTAACTGGGCCTTGAGAGCCTTCAAGCACAAAGGCTGCAGAATCTCTCTGGGCCCCTGTTCCAGTGTTTGGTTATCCTCAGGCTGAACATTTTTCACTTATGTCAAATCAGAACCCCCTTTTTCAGTTTATAGGAATTCTCTTCTTCTGGCATGCACATCAGTAAATATGGCCTGGCCCTGTCTTGTTGGTAACCTTCTCATAGGTATTAGCCCCTCCTCAGCTTTCCTGTAGCCCCTTTCAAGTACTGGAAGGCCACTATAAGGTCTCTCCAGAGCCTTCTCTTCTCTAGGCTGAGCAGCCCCAACTTTCTCAGCCTGCCTTCATAGCAGAGGTGCTCCAGGCCTTTGATCATCTTGGTGGCCATTCTCTGGACCCTCTCCAACAGGTCTGTATCTTTCCTGTGCTGAGGTCACCAGAGCTGTACACAGCACTCCAGGTGGGGTCTCACCAGAGCAGAGCAAAGGGGCAGAATCCCCTCCCTGGCCCTGCTGGCCACACTTCTTTTGATGCAGCCCAGGATGTGTTTAGCTCTCTGGGCTGTGAGCACACACTGGTGGCTCATGTTGAGCTTCTCATCAACTACCATCCCCAAGTCATTCTCCTGAGGAATGCCCTCCAGCCATTCTCCCTCCAGCCTGTATTTGTGCTTGGGGTTGTGCAGGACCCTTCACTTGGCCTTGTTGAACTTCATGAGGTTGGCACTGGCCCACCTCTTCAGCCTGTCAAGGCCCCTTGGGATGGCATCTCTTCCCTCTTGGGTGTCAACCACACCACACAGCTTGGTATCATCATCAGATTTGCTGAGGATACACTCAATCTCACTATCTGTGTCTCCAAACAGCACTGGTCCCAGTACTGATCCCTGAGGGACGCCACAGAGGCTTTGCAATCACATCTGCCAGCTCCCTCAGTATCCATGGGTGAATCCCATCAGGTCCCATAGATTTACGCACCTTCAGGTTCTTTAGATGGTCACAAACCTGCTCTACAACTATAGTGCTCTACACCTCCCAGTCCTTGCTTTCACCTTATGTGGCCTTTGTGTTGAGGTTGGAGCACTTGCCAAAGAAGGCTGAAGCAAAGAAGTCATTGAGGACCTCAGCCTTCTCAATATCTTGTGTTGCTACCTTGCCCATTCCCTTCAGGAGGGGGCCTGCACTTTCCTTGTCTTTTCCCCCTAGCATATCTAAAGAATATTTTCTTACTGTTCTTAACATCTCTGGCAAGATTTAATTCTAGCAGGGATTTGACTCTCCTAACCTGATCCCTATCTGCTTGGACAACCTCTCTGTAATCCTCCCAGGATACCTGCCCCAGCTTCCACCCCCTGTATGCTTCCTTATTAAACTTGAGCTTTTCTAGGAGCTGCTTACTCATCCATGCTGGCCTCTTGGAGTTACTACTTGACTTCCTCTTAGTTGGGATGCAATGCTCTTGGGCCTGGAGAAGGTGATCCTTAAATATCAGCCAGCTTTCATGGGCCCCTCTACCCTCCAGGATGTTATCCCAAGACACTCTCTTGAGCAGAGGATGAAATCTGCCCTTCTGAAGTCAAGGTTGGTAAGCTTGCTGTGAGCCCTCCTTGCTGCTCTAAGGATCTTGAACTCCATCATTTTGTGGTCACTACAACTCAGGCTGCCCTTGAGCTTAACATCCCTCACCAGCTCTTCCCTGTTGGTGAGGACAAGATCCAGCACAGCACAGCACCTCCTTGTTGGTTCCTCGATTATTTGGAAAAGGAAGTTATCATCCTTGCACTCTAGGAACCTCCTGGATTGTTGGTGTTTAGCAGAGTTGTTCTTCCAACAGATGTCAGGGTGGTTGAAGTCTCCCATGAGACTTGTGAATGTGTATAGACTGTCTGTCTATATAGAGCCTCATCTATATTATCCTCCTGCTCAGGCAACCTGTAGCAAACCCCCACTCTGCTGTCACTTTGGCCTTTCTTCTCCTTAATTTTAACCCATATGCTCTGTCTTGGCTCCTGCTGCCTTTTCCCGAAGGATGGCAGGGTGCAGCTCCAGCAGTCTATTTCCCTTTCACATTTCCTT